AAGATAAAACAGCCACATTGGTGAAATCGCTCAGACAAACGATTCCAAAATACATTAGTGATTGAATTCATTGAAACGTTCTTTCACAAATGAGTTTTTAGAACAAACTAATGACGTCGTTCAAGCCGTTCAGGAAGTAGTGAATTAATTTAACGCCCATTGAATTTTCATTTATTAACACGTATAGTTCTAAAACTACAATCCAATTTATTCAATAGTAGCGTAGACGAATAATCAGCAATATATTGTCAGATATAATTGGTCTTAGTTGCTCTAGAAATATAAAACGTTTGCCAATTTATTCTGAAAGCATATTCGTAGAATATTTTAATGATATAATAAGCCTACACTAAGAATATTTTAATATCGTTATCATTCCTTGTTTTTAATAGTACTACATCTATTGACGTTGTATTTTATTAAAATTTAAAAGTCTTGCATTTCGATGACATAAGTGGTTCTCCGAAAACAAATTCGAGCAACGCATTTGTATTGTAGTACATATTATTAGATGTGCGGTGGATATGAAACCGCTTAGCTCATTTAGTTAACCAGTCCAGATAAATTTTGAAACATGCACATAACACATAAAATAATTTATTATAAAATAAATATTAGAGTATTTTACTATTACTACTGATACTTAAAAATGAAATTTTTCTCAAGTTACTTCCCAACACGTTTCCTGCCGGACATGCCACTTAACTGTACCTTAGGGTAGAGGTGCCTTGGTTGTTAATGTGTTAAATAAAGTTAACGATTAGTTAATGTTAACATGAAGTCATTGGCATAAAAAAACTAATCATATTAAATTTGAAGGTGAAAACCAATGATAAATATGTCGACATTCCAAAAATATAATGTCTTATGCAGACTTAAACCAATATACCTTTTAAACTGTAATCCATTCCTATCAGCCGCTCTGGTGTGAGTAAGTAACAAACGTAAATATTTTAAAATATATTATTAAAAGTACGACGATCTAAGTACGATTTAATTAGTTTTAAAACGTATCACTAATTTTTAATCCAAACAATGGCAAACTTCTCGTCGTATTATATACAGGGTGGCTGAAAAGTAACTTGCACCCCCCTTTAACTTTTCAACCATTTGAGATATTTGAAATCGGTTTAAGGCAACCTTCTTAGATATGAAGGGCCACAATATTTATGGTCAATTTTGAAAATTTTGCCCGTAGGGGTGGCGGGGGTAGGGGGTAGCTCAAAATTTTCAAATAATAAGTATATTCAAGTTTGGTATCATTTTACAGGTCTTGACGAAACATGAACATTGACATAAAGAAAACCAAAATCGGCTCACTAATAACAAAATGGCGCCCTAAAACGTTTCAAATCCAAATAACCATGAGGGTAGCAAAAAAATTAGCTTGCACCCTCTTTAACTTTTTAACTATTTGAGATATTTGAAATCGGTTTGCGGCAACTTGTTTGGAAATGAAGGGCTACAATAATCATGGTCAGTTTTGAAAATTTTGCCCTTAGGGGTAGCGGGGGTAGTGGGTATCTCAAAATTTTCAAATAGCAAGTATAGTCGAGTTTGGTATCATTTTGTAGGTCTTGATGAAACATGACAATTATCATAAAGAAAATAGAAATCGGACCATTAATAACAAAATGGCAACGCAAAATTACTTTGAAACACCATTGTCTTAATAATTTTTAGCTGCCATTTTGTTATTAATGGTCCGATTTCTATTTTCTTTATGTTAATTGTTATGTTTCGTCAAGCCCTACAAAATGATACCAAAGTCGACTATAGTTGCTATTTGAAAATTTTGAGCTACCTCCTACCCCCGCTATCCCTAAGGGCAAAATTTTCAAATCTGACCATAATTATTGTAGCCCTTCATTTCCAAACAAGTTGCCGCAAACCGATTTCAAATATCTCAAATAGTTAAAAAGTTAAAGAGGGTGCAAGTTAATTTTTTTGCTACCCTCATGGTTATTTGGATTTGAAACGTTTTAGGGCGCCATTTTGTTATTAGTGAGCCGATTTTGATTTTCTTTATGTCAATGTTCATGTTTCGTCAAGACCTGTAAAATGATACCAAACTCGACTATTCTTGTCATTTGAAAATTTTGAGCTACCCCTACCCCCACTACCTCTAAGGGCAAAATTTTCATAATTGGCCATAATTATTGTAGCCCCTCATATCTAAGAAGGTTGCAGCAAACCGATTTCAAATATCTCAAATGGTTGAATAGTTAAGTGGGGGTGCAAGTTACTTTTCAGCCACCCTGTATAACAAATACAACCATATACATAACATCAGTCGATTTATATATACGAGTAATAATATAAAGTGGAAGATTTTTTTCTTCAAGTATAATACGAATATTAACAAGAATGTTATGGGGTGAAAAGTGACTTAATTATATTCTAATGGCAGTTCTGGGTGCCATTTTCATGTGGCCATCTCCCCCAGTCATTGCTCCCTTTAGGGCTCTTTTCATGTCAACTAGAATGGCCAAAATTTATGTTTGTAATAACACCCAAACTTGAGGTCTTGATTTCTATTTTATTGCCTTTTTCTGGATTTTAATGTTCAGCAACTCGATTGAATGCTATATATTTCATTTACTTTATTTTATGTTTGCTATCGTCTGATTCAGTTGTGTGTTTACAAACTTCGTCTTTTGGTCAAATGAAAAATATGTGAGTCGTATATAGCTTAAAACTAAATTCTAGAGGTATAAGATATTAGCAGGTTTTATATTTATGAATATTTTATTTATATACAAAACGTATCCTTCACGAAAATAGCTGCTGAACATATATTTCTTCTACATGAAAACTTATTTATAAGATTTTTCTCTTTCTTGTGTTTATCTATCTTCAGGTATAAAGGGGGTCACTATAACCAATCGGATACTAAAAGATAAATCAAGGGGAATAAAAATAATAAATTATTACTTTACCATACTATCAAATTGAGAAACTTAAAAAAATATACCTGGGTTGTTTTATAATGTAGCCAGATACTATAGAAATATTGTTTTCAGAACATTTAAAGTAACTAAGATACACAAACAAGATACACAATAGGTGCTAGAAAGTTAACAAAGTGCCGTTAGTTTTATCCAAACAACCCTTAATGAAGGTAAGGTTTGCTTTCCCAGACAGCTGCAACGAGCAAGCAGAAACTGACACCGTTTACTGACGCCTGGCTTGGCTCGTTTGATTTTAATGAGAAATGTTTTTAGGAGTAAACCAAATGTTTGATTGGTTTGTAAGGGCTTGAAATAGGAAAACGATTTTATTACTTAGAAAAAACGCCCCAAAACATTTTATAGAACAACACTTCAATGCTGTTTCTATAAATACAATCGCTTTTACAGTTAACATTAAATGGTTTGATTCGCAGTGAAAATAAGGTTGTGGAAATTTGAGGGGGAGTTGGTATATAGACCCATTAGACCTTAAAAAAACTAAATTTTAAAAACTTGCGTATATTTAGGGCAGATATGTTTTATTTATTGATTTATTCCAATTAACTTTTACAATACATGATTTACAACAAGCTACATGAATTGTACCATAGGTATGAATGTAAAGTAGTTTGAATGTGAAGTTTTGACGAGTCTGTGATGGACCTAATCCACTTATATTGAACCAATTGAAAATTCCACGCAGGTGAAACGTGAAATGGACTTTACATCAACAACTGAACTGGAGACGTTGAATATGGTAGCTATTTTAGTCGAACACAATTACATCTATTTGCTTGAGACTACTTGAGTCAACATTTTTTACAATTAGTGAAATATAGAAGAGGTTTAATAAAAACAGTAAAATATAGTCTGAAAATAATTATGTTGCTTTTCAATCTTTAACTTTAGAAAAGTGTTGATTCTTTGGCACAATCTTAATCCGTTTTATATTAATTTTAGCAGTGTATTTTTTACAAAGTTGATCAACTTCTGTATCATATGTAACAAGTTTAATAAACATAAATGTAACAAATGTTTCGTAGAATATACGCAAGGAATAAATTATGAGGATGCAGTATAATATACTAGCTAGTCATAAAAATGAGGTTGCCATCATAAAAACGTTGCATTCAGTAATAAATGTATGCATATTAATACAAAACTACATTGGATCTCAGATCGAAACCACTAAAACTTGTTTCGAAGTTCCGTTTTGATCTGGCATTAGGCCAAGTATTGTGCTAGTAGACCATGCTTGTTGTTAATATATTTCTTCCTTAATAATACATACGAATAAACTATACTATGCAACTAGTTTAAACAGACTCGTCTCTCTGATCAGCGTATTGTACACATATGCCATTCATGTAATTTTAAATACGACTTACTAAGCACCACCACAAATATTTTTAGTGAGTGATTAAGTTAATATTTTGTAACTATCTTCTTAAACGAAAATGCTTTACTTGACGGATGTTAAGGTATCTTCCATTCTGTGAAATCACAATATTTAATGAACATATTCCTTTTATTAATTCACTTTAATAAGCCTACGATTTCATTTTGTAACAATGTCTAACAAAGCGACTATCACCTAAACTATGCAAAACTAGTTGTAGAAAGCAAGTTCAAAAGACTGATGAGTCGATAAGAGTTGCTCAACCCACCAAAATATTCAATATCAAGACAAAAACTACATTTTCAAATCAACAAAATATTTATGAAACATACACGAATGCAAAGACATATATTCAAATTGAGATTTACAATCCCTTTTATTATTTTATCAATTGAAAGATCTAGCAATTTTATATATTTTATTATAATAGCAACACGCATCAATATTCGATCCAGATTATGTCTAACATAACTGTACTTTGAAGCATAACTTTCTCAGATTGGCATTCACCTTAACAGTTAAGTGATTCAATCGGTTCTAGTCCAATGGAAAATAATTGAAGTCGTTAAATTGAGAGATAGTCAATGCTTTATCTAAGTTTATAGTGTAAGTTATTTTCGAACAATACCGGAGGTATGATACTTTTTACTTAGTATATTTAGTCGTAACTTTTATAGTGGTTTAACGTCTAAGACTATTGTATAATTAAAGATTTATGTTAAATCACCAACTAAATGTAGGTTATTAGGTTCCTAACCATAGATTTTACATCATAGCTAAATAATATAAAGTGAAAGAAGACTTTCTTCTACAGATATTATTTCCAGAATTTCATTTTAGGAGTGATATTGAATACGCTGAACGGATATTTAGTAAATATTTGGCGAAAAAGTACGTCCATAATGTTATGAACTACAATTATTAACCATGAAAGTCGAAAATAATCGAAATGACACGCGTAGCTTTAATATGCATCTAGTAAGACCATATTGGATAAAACGTATAATCTTTTCAAATAATCATAACTTAAGCGCACATAACTTTTAAACATTTATCTAAATACATTACTTTATGTAATATATTCTTAATATATCTCATGTCCATAAGTTAAATTCTAAGTGTGTGCCGCTTAGTTTATTATAATTAACTATCTGTTAAATGTGTTCAAGGTACAATGATAAAGCTCCTATGTGTAACTATCACTCTTATTATTATCGCCAGCGTGGTCGCTCGCCCGCTTACCAGATCAGTAAGTAAACTATCATTAATTTAATCTTTGTTCACTCACTCTTTCACTCACATAGCCATTTATATCCATTTATAGTGGGATTTGGCCTCACCAAAAGCTGCTCTCCATCTCTCTCTACCTGCTGCCTCTTCCTCTTCTGCCTCACTTCTATGATATCCTTGGAGACACTATCCCACCATCTCTTCTTGAGCATTCCTAATGGTCGGTTTCCTTCTGGTTTTCCTATATTATTAATTTTAATAGTGAACCCGTTTCTCTCCGTAGTGCGTACCCTGTACACCTTATTTTCTTTGCTTTGACTTGTGCCACTACATCATAATCTTTTTACAGATTGTTTATCTCCCTATTATGAATTTTTCTCCATCCTCCATTCTCAAAATTGGACTTCAACCAAAAATATTTTGTAATAAAATGCCCATAGAACAATCAACCTCGATTATTTCATTTTTACAGAGAATAACTTGTGAGATTATTCTAAATATAAATGCCATCATGTTCTAATTTGTTTTTAAGTATCTCTGCAACCTGACGTCCTCCGATTAATTCTCAAGATTAGCCACAATTATGCACGTTTGCACTTTCACTTGAGAACCATTATTCAATGTAATTTAAACTGTTTCCTCTTGTGTGATGATTGTTAATTTGTTTACACAAATGCAATAAAAAACAATATAATTATAAAATAATAAGGTGGTATTGTAAACTTAGATTACAAGCACTTTTTTACTAATGAACATTTATATTTTATTTATACTTTTAGAAACGTAATACAATACCAAACAGTCATCATGTGAAATAATGTTATTTTGTTTGCTATCGCATGTATAGGTCGCAACACGTAAAATACTGTAAGAAACATATCTCAATCCTATTTTTAGGCAACAACACAATAACAATATACATTTTGTATACATTATCGTATAACGTAATTCATAATAATCAAATATTATTTGTTATATTATTTTTCTCACTTTAGTGATACCTTTTTTATTCTAACTATTGTGAGTAAAATTGTTTTTAAAATAACCAAATCATGATATTATTGTGTTAAAAATTTAAGCCCTCATAATGAGGAGTAAGTTGAAGTTTAATTAAACTTAGGCTACTAGAAAATTACACTCAAAATATTCAAATACTTAAATTCACGTAAATCATATTTTAAACGACAAAATATTATTTATTTAAAACAGTCGTACTAACAGTAATGAAAAATCTGGAATAACTATTAACTACCTATTTTAGTGTGTTACACAGCTGCCTTAACTTGGAATAGTCTTAGACAGTACAATAAAAAGTTTTCCTTTAGTATAACTGATTCAGTGTCATGGAATGTTTATCAGCGTTGGTTCACAAGAAGTCTACTCAGAGCTGCATTAATTGTTAGAATTTTACAACAACGACTTTCTTTATTAATGTTAGAATTATGTTAATCAATACAAAACTAAAATAATATGTTAGATTCAGTAATTGGATTCGCTTAGAAGTGTTTCGTCATTTGAAACTTTACAAGCCTTTAAAATCAAAATTCAACTAATCTATTATTTCTAATTGGTAATTTAAGAATAAGAAAATTAATTTATTGGCTATGACAGTATACAGTAATGTGTTACACTACCGCAAAGGTGTTTTGAATGAATGGGATTGTAGCTTATTACTATTCCTTTGGCTATTTTTTTTACTTGAACTACCTATTTAACTAAGTCCAAAGATCAAATTTCCAAATCGAAAGTTCAATAATCTGACTAAGATTTTAGTTAGTAACATTTGTTATCTTAAATTTCACAATAATCCTTCTTCTTTTCAACTAATGCGTCTTGTACTAATTAATAGTGTCATAGTTTAAAGTCACTACATTGATAAGTCTGAATGTCATTGATAAGTCACTACATTGATCAATCAGTTCTATAATCCTTGATGTGATACTGTTCTAGGAGCAAAAGAGGATATACCGTAAGATCACGGAAAGCATGGTAAACAAATTGAAACGCACTCTTAAAATAATTAAAAACTCAGGCAGGAAATATTCTCCAGCAGAAGTGCAAGCTATGATGAGTAAAACATTGCTTGACGAGCTGGCCAAATATCAAGATGACATACAAAGATTACCTTTGAAAGGACGAAAACTTCCTGATTTTTCTATTGAACCGCGGTGGGAAAAGGAAGTCCAAAGATGTGCCAAAGATTTGACAGGGGGTGTTAAGGTGAAGATCCCCACATATATATTATAACCAAAAGTGTTGATAGTTTAGTTTGTTAATCAGATATGTCTCAACAGATAAGCTCTTTATTGTTTACCCTTAATCATCAGATTAAATGGTTTAAGTTATTGTTATCCCTAATCACACACCTTAATCATCCATGAAACTCCCAATAACATTAGTCGTTGAAAGAAACGCCGTTTTCACTATGTGAACCAGTAGTTTAGTTATGACACACACACACGTGCTAAGCATAATGAACATGATGAGGATGCTATTTATGGTACTATATAGTAGGGTACTAAATAGTATATATTTCCCCTCTGTAGGGAGAAAGGAAATTCATGTATACCTGGTGGTGATTCCGCAAACTACAAAAATAGTCACCAGATTCATAACGTCAAGGTTTCCCATGTAATCTTGACTTATATGCAATATAAAGTTATATATATGCTTATTTAAGCTCTATACAAATTTATCTATATGCCCACGCTGCTCGATTGGCTATAATATTATAATTCTAGATTGCTTAAAACAGTCATTTTACTTTAATACTGAACAAAATTATTCCGACACAAGAATAATTGTTTGTTTATTTATGATTATTCAATTTAAATAATAGATTTTCGGCACTTTTTGTTTAAATTTTGCTTACTTGTATTATATTGTACATCGTATATACTTATTTTATTTTTATTTTTTATTATAAGCACCGGTTTATCTTTTTCAGCATAGGCTAAAGTTGTCGGGTTATTTTGTTAATTTATTTCAAACAAAAAATAATATTAAAAGTGTCATCACCATTTGCGAATACGTCAAGAGTTAAAAGGTTATTCTAAACAACCTGGTAAAACTTCTACTGGGAAATACTTGTCTTAAAATGCAAAAGAATCTTCATTTGTCTTAGTCTTCCTTAGTCTTTAACTTAGAAATTGCATTTCATAAGAGAGTTGGTGCAATAAATTATACGCTAGACAATCCCATTTTGACAATTGGAAAAAATTGTTTTGTAACTTTTACAAACTTTTTCAATTTCAACATTATTTTGTGTGATGTCTTGTAATGAGCATTGTTTTTAATATGTGAAGGATACAATAAACATCATGAGAATGAATAGGTGCTACAAGATGAGACAATACAAACATATAACTTATAATTTATATGCCCTAAATCTGATAAAACACCTTCAGAGCTTGAAAATTCAACCCCTAAAATTACACAAAACCCTAAACACGACAACTGTACTAACTTGAACAAGATCAAAGAACATTCTTTTATTACCAATTGCAATTCTAAGTTTAGTAAAAATAAACAATAAGAATATCTTTTGCTTTACTTTGTAATTTACGACTAGTATCCAACAGATCAAATATTATATAATGGATTCCACAAACAACTGTTTCTCAGTTTTCATGGAACAGAAATATTTTCCAATTAGAGGAGATTCGATTAGTTTTTCTCTTATCAAATCGATTACATAATTTTAAATCACTCTTGCAATAAGTCTTTCAACTCGTTGTTTTTTCCACTGTTAATAAGTCATCTTTTGATTGGTTACGCTAGAAAATTATAACTACGAAACTACACAGTAGTAAAATAAATAGTATATAAAATGCAATCACGCCAAACTTATTATTTAAAATCCCCTCAGGTATTCATTAAGTACCTACCAGGCATTCATTTTCCCAAGAAAATCCCTTGTTAAATTTGCATTAACTAGAAAAAGCTACTGTAGTAGTTTATATAATTTTCTCCCATAAAATGTGTTATTTTGAAAACTGTTAAAATATTATCGTTTGAAAATATTTGTTTATAATAATAATACGTTTAGAATAATCTCTACGTTCGTTGTCCATTTAAGTATCAGTTTGGTTTTTTCAATGTGTTTCAATGGAATTGGAATATAATAAATATGCAATATATCTTCATTATTAAATACATAAAAATATAATAGTTATACGTGTTAAGTGCAAAGCAATTTTTATATTGTTATCCTACTCAGTTGCAAAGCACTTAACAGTTAGGCCTCACAGTAATCGTTTTATTACTCTGAGGTTAGGCTCAGTAGCTACAAGGTTAAAGATATTTATTTTCTATTATAATACAAGCTACACACTCATCTGGTTGGAATACAATGAAACGTTGAAACTTTCCTCACTTCAAAACTGTGTCTGATGGAGAGTCCTTCAGCTATGTTTACACTTTATATTTTGTTCCATTTATACTGCATCATAATGAACATGCCTTTGAAATTTGCGTATATATTAAAATACCCCCGCGACAGCGAACCTGCAGACAAGGCGAATTTCCATTTGCCTAATTGTATTTACACTAAAATGTGTCTCCAAAAAAAAATAGTTGCATTTTCCGAATTGGATCAAAATATGTTATCAAACTACAACAGTTTACTTATTCTCCAAAAGAATATTATGGGAATTAACACTAAGGGAATTTACAATTTTTTGCAATATACTAAATTATTTGTTTTTTTTAAGCTCTGCAAAATGATTTGGAAAGAAATTGCTAAATTTTATGTTTTTTGGGTCAAAGTGGGAAAACCAATGTTTACCCCATAAAGCCCCCCATAAACCCCCGTTCCCATAACCCGATCATGCTGGATCGCGAACTGGTTCAAATAAATGTTAATTTACACGTTTATACCAAATTTGGTCAAAATCGGATCATTTTTGCTCGAGTTATCGTGATAACGCACACACACATAAATATATGCATTTGAACAGATGGTGATTTTGGCTTCTAGGGACCTCAAAACGAAAAAGTCAATCGGTCCCGGGTTCAGGTCTTACCATGAGTACTACGGTAATAGCTTATCCCTTATATGGGAAATTCGCTAACAGTATGCTGGTGTACTGAAAAAAATAGAGATTGCAATTTACTGTAGAGCTTTCCATTAGCTGATAGTTTTAATTAAACCTATAGATAGCTACTTTAAAACTAATATTAACGGTAATATTACCTTGATTTGTATGTTTCATTTAGGCTGCAATGATCTGTATACTCACATTTTCTATCAATTAGCCTACCTAATAGTACCATTGTGATTTTTCTTTGTTTGCCACATTGATATAAAAGAGTGAACAAAGAATTTCACATTTGCCAAACCGATGAAAAGAGCGGCCTCCGTCCATATATTGGTATTAACGAAGTCCATAAAACCCCTATCGTTTAAGCGTTGGATTCATTTTACTGTAATAGAACAAAGAAATTTAGTACTTTTCAGTGGACTACTTTTGAACCTACTATATACCGCCAAATGATTCGTTAAACAATTAGACGTGGCTTTCTAGCAATAGAATGGCATAAATGGCCTTAACAGATCATTTAATTTATGATCCGTAAGTAAATATCTAAATATTCGAGTTTTAACTAAAAGGAAAATAAACTATAAGTTTTGATATTTATTTGTTGTATTTTATTCCAAACAAATCTAGAGTTTATTTTTTTACAATTCAGTGATTCTGTTCAGGAAAGCTACAACTTTCCTGTTTTATTTTTTTAATACTGTATTTACTGTGTGGTGTAGGTTCTGTTTACTGAGTAGGCTTGTTTAATATTGTTTCAATATCCAGAATAACGGAAAGTAATATTAAATATTCATGGCACAGTCATTACCCTTTTTTAAGTTTCATCATACTTATAAACTATTTTCAGCCCATTTTAAAACAACAAACTGCTTCTAATAGTTAAAAATATTAGTTCTAATTTAAATCACACAAAGAAGATCAGTAAAATACTGTACCTGTTTGATCAGTGGTAGTTTCAAAATGTCCTGCAATACCTTCTGTGTATTCTTTGATCAATGGTCTTCGCCCGAATTTCCTTCTTACTGTATTCATTCTGTAATTTGCTTGCTTGTAAACATATGCTATGATTCTTTGTTTACCTGTGTGTTGTTATTTTGTAGCAATCTTTTTTTTTTTTAGATTTTATTAACCGATCAGCATTTTATTGCTATACAGGTTAGGTATAATATAAGAAAGACAAAAATAACATTATTAATTACATTAACATGGATAGAGGTCAGCTTAGCCCCTCAGGCACTTATTGTCACTGTTTTAGCGGGTCGGACTGAAAAGGCACTGTCCACCAATGAAACACAAATCAATGAAAACAAAACAATGGTTATAATAAAACATCTTGAGGCAATCTGGGTTTTAGTCGGAGTCTCTGGATTTCAGAAGGTTGGCCTGTGTTATAAAATCCAATGCTGCTGGTTAATGGAAGTTTTGTAAAAAATTTTGATGTAACTTTCTTGATAAAATCTTCTATAGGTTTTATTCCCAGTTCTAAATGTATTTGACGGGTTCGAAAATACCAGGGACATTTTAGAATTATCCTTAAAACTTTATTTTGAAATGTTTGCAGTTTGCGAATTGAGCTTGGTGAAGCAGTTCCCCATACTGGGCAGGCGTATAACAATAGTGGACGTAGAAGTGTTTTGTATAAAAGGGTTCCATTCTTCATAGACATACATGATTTTTTGTTGATTAAAGGAAACAATTTTGATAATCTGCCATAAGCCAAATTTAATTTTTTATTAATATGAAATTTCCAATTTAACTTTCGGTCGAAGTATACACCTAAATATTTTATTGCTTGGTCAGGAGGGTTCCATGCAATCTGTTCACCTAGAATTTCTAAATTTGGAGGATCTAGAGGTTTTCGGAGGGTAAAAATCTTCGCTTCACTCTTCATCGGATTTATGGCTATTCTCCATTTTGTGAACCATTCCACCAAATCGTTTAAGGAAATTTGAATGTTATTGGCCACAACTTCGATGTCATGCTGTGTAGAGTAGAGTAGGGTGTCATCAGCAAACACGGCTGTTTGGACATGGTTTGACAATGGCAAATCAGAGGTGTAAATGTTATATAATAGAGGTGAAAGAATTGCTCCCTGTGGGACTCCGGCTTGAATTGGTCTGGCAGTTGATAGGGAGCCATCAATATTAACTGAAAACGTTCTGTCTTCAAGGAAGCTTTCAATAATTCTCTGTAGGTAGGAGGGGACTCCGAACTCTCTTAGTTTATACAACAAACCATCGTGCCAAACACGGTCAAAGGCCTGACTTACATCAAGAAAAACTGCAGCAGTATGACATTTTCTTTCAAATCCTTTAA